TAGCAAATTACTGGATCTGTCGGAACACAGGAGATGTGCTGCACCCGGGGTAAGGAGCCATTCAACCTCTCATCCGTGAGACTATACTGATCCAAATCAACCGGGACAACTCCGCCCAAAGGGAATTACTCCACAGAGAGTTCGTGAGGGAGATGCCAAGGCCAGCTCCGGATAGGGGCGGCAGCGGAGCGCCCGACCCGCACCGACCATCCGGAATGAGCCGCCCTGAGGGGGCCGGCACCTGCTGACCCTCCGCCTGAGGAGTTTCATCCCGCCTCGGAAGCAAATCCCAGCCGCCGCCGGGTGCCTTTGGGCACGGACCGCCGTCCCCGTGCCTGAGGAATAACTTTTGTGGCGGCGGCACCGCGCTCCCCTCTCGCTCGACGCCTGCTGTCGCTTCTCCTCTGCGGGACGCTGCGGGCACGGCGAGCGCAGGCGAACCCCCTGGCGCCTGCTCGCCCTGCCCCGCTGCCCCCCTGCCCCAGGAAGGGCAGAGCAGCCGGGGCGCCGCTCCCGCAAGACCGCGGCGGCCACAGCCTCCCCCTTCCCTTTTCCCCCACCCTTTTCGAAATCCTCTCTGGAGCAGAGCTGTGTAGCGAGGAGCCCGCAGCTAATGTCAAAAGCGGCAGAAAAAGTAGAAATCGCCGCGCTCCTTACCGCTCAGCAGAGCCCCGGCCGCCGCGCCCCCTTCTCTGTCGCTTCCCCGCCCCGCCACGTCGGCAGCAGCGGGGGGAGGAGGCAGAGAGGGGCCCAGCCCGGGACGGCCAGCCCGCAGGGAGGAGGGAGGGCTGGCGCTTCTGCCTCCCGCTGCCTCCGGCTCTCCGAGGCGCCCGCCTGTAGCAAAGGGGCTGCTCCGCTCCGCGCCGCTGCCGAGCCCCCCCGAGCTCCAGGCTGCGCTGACCCACCGCGGAGAGCGGCCCCGGCCGCCCTTATCGCCCCTCACGGCCCCCGTCGCGCTGCGGCGGGGCTGGGGCTGCGGCAGTGTCCCGGCGCTGTCCCGGCAGTGTCCCGGCGCTGTCCCGGCGGTGTCCTGCCGAGGGAGGCAAGGCGGGCGCCAGCCGGGAGCGCGGGGCGCGGGTGGAGCAGCGCTTCCCTCAGCCGCGGGCGGCATCCCCCGCATCCGCGCTGAGGCGGAAAACGGGTAAATTTCATAGAATCACAGAATCACAGAATATGCTGAGTTGGAAGGAACCCATCAGGATCATCGAGTCCAACTCCTGACGCTGCACAGGACCACTCCAAGAATCACACCACGTGCCTGAGAGCGTTGTCCGACTTGAACTCAGTTGTTCAAGCATTGTTCTTGAACTCTGTCAGGCTTGATGCTGTGACCACTTTCCTGGGGAGCCTGTCCCAGTGCTCAACCACTCTCTGGGTGAAAAGCCTTTTGCTCATATCTATCCTAAACGTTGCCTGGTTCAGCTTGATGCTTGTTTCTTCGAGTCCTGTCACTGGTCAGTATCTGCCCCTCTGCTTCGCCTCCTGAGGATGCTGACAACCACAGTGAGGTCTTCCTTCATCTCCTCTTCTCCAGGCTGAGCAAATCCAATGACCTCAGCTGCTCCTCTTATGGCTTCCCATCCTCATTGCCTTCGTTTGGACACTCTCATAGCTTTATATCCTTTTGTTGCGGTGCCCAAACCTGCACACAATATTCAAGGTGAGGCAGCTCCACTGCAGAGCAGAGTGGGACAATCCCCTCCCTTGACCAGCTGGTGATGCTTTGCCTGATGCCCCCAGAGCACAGCTGGCCCTCCTGGCTGCCAGGGCACTGCTGACCCATATTCAGCTTGCCATTGACTTGGACTCCCAGGTTCCTTTCTTCAACTCTCCAACCTCTTGTTCCCTGCTCTGTACACACAACCAGGATTGCCCTGTCCCCACTGCAGAATCCAGCATTTGCTCTTGTTAACCTTCATATGGTTGGTGATTGCCCATTTCTCTATTTGTTGAATTCTCTCTGCAGGGCCTGTCTGCCCTCAAGGGAGTTGACAATCTTCCCAAGTAACTTAGTGTCATCAGCACAGAGTATTGAGTCCTGCATCCAGGTCATTAATGAAGATGTTGAAAAGCACAGGGCCTAAGACGGAGCCCTGCTGAACCCCATGACTGAGAGGTCACCAGCCTGATGTTACTCCATATTCACTATAACTCTTTGTGCCCGACTCCTTAGCCAGTTGCAAGAGTTATCCAGCTGTATGCTAGATAATTTGTTATGGTCAAACTGATAATGTTCATTCTGGGGTATTTTAAGTTTCTATGAGTCTAGTCATTGAGCTGGCATCAAAATTTATTATTTTCTTTTTAGAAAGTTTAATCCTTCCTCAAAGTGAGCACCTACTGAAGCATGGGGCAGCAGAATTAAACAACCGAGACTGAGCTTTTCAGATGCTGCTTTGCACCCTCGTTATCACTGTGTTTACAGGAAATGTAACAGAAGCTGGGCAGTGCATGCACATATTTCCAGTCAGCTGGTGTCAGCACTGGGTACCTGCAGACACCCAAGAAGTACTTGGCTGAGCAAAGGGTTTGCAGGCTCTTGCCCAACAACCTGTGGTTTTTGTCTCTCTAGTTCCTCATACCCCTTCCTCTTTTTACCACTTCATTTTAAGGCAAAGCATGCCCTTTACAGTGATAAAAGCAGTTCCACAGTTTGTCACAGCATCATTTTTGTCAGTAGCCTGCTGAAGAAAGGTTGCCACAGGAGGCAAAATAACATGTTGTGAATCACTGAGGAGAGCTACTGTAGGAGGCCACAAAATAAAACCACGGATCTCAGAAGTGTGCATTACAAATACCTATCATGATGTGTGACTTACACGCTTAACAGGAAAAAGTCTCTGAAGTTTCTCATTACAGTAGGTGGTAGCAGAACAAATATTTGTATCCCTAAATAATACATTTCTTTTAAGGGTTTTCCAGTGAGAATTTAAATGCCAGAGAATTTTAATTTATTCATGTTAGATGTATTTATTGAAAATGAAATCTAGAGTGGCCCTGTGGATTTCCCTCTGCTTTTCAGTGGAGCTTGTGGAAAGGTAGTGTCATAGAGGAATGATGATGGCTGGAGATTGTTTTACCTATGAGAAATGGTAATTCTGATGGATCTTGCACTGTCAGGTTTGCAAATTCTGTACAAGACCACACATGCTATAGAGCTGCAAGATATTGTTAGTCACTGTTGTAACAATTATTACAGAATCACAGAATGTGCTAAGTTGAAAGGGACCCACAAGGATCATCTAGTCCAGCCCTTAGCCCTGCACAGGACCATCCCCAAGAGTCACACCATGAGCCTGAGAGTATCATTACTTCAGGATGAAATTAACATTATATGTGTGTAAATGTGTACATCTGTCTGTTCAGACAGAAGAATGCATAGATTTCCGAAGTTCCTAAATTACTTTTTTAAATTAACACTTGCATTTTCTAATTTTTTTTCTGTTTCAATTTTCAGTAATTAATTTCACTTATATTGTCTCACTATGGTAATATTGCAATTGGTTTTGCAATAAATAAGCATTAGAGATTAAACATTTCCATTCTTCTCAGATTTCACTAAAGTTTGTTATTATTCTGGGTGTCATCATCTTTCTCATGGGTTTCGGAAAAGATACTTGCCTTTTAATAAATTGATAAATATAAATTTGAAGGGCTAATGGCATCTAGTTAACGGCAATATGCTAGTTTTTCTGTTTAACATACATCTGTCTTCGTAGTATGTAGGCATACAGGCACTGCCAGTGGCCAGCTCATACTGTCACTGAACTGAAGAGATACTCTTGAATAAGGGTCTCTGTGGCAGTTCTTACACATTAACCAATTGTGTGTCTGGTTCTGTATTCATTAGAGTAACATATAGGCCATATTCAGGCAGTTCAGCTGTAACGTTCCAAAACAGGAATTAATGTTTGATAGAAGTAAGGTCTTACCTTAAGGTTTTTATCTCACCCTAAGAATGGATAGCAAAGTCTTTCCAGCTAAGAGCAGGCAAGGGTGAGGTTTGTATGTAACACCGTTATAAAGTGTAATTTGGAAACCAGCTGTGAATGGTCTTGTCTGAATTGATAGAAAGGGAGAACAAATCATAAAATCATAGAGTACCACTATAAGGCTCATCATCATGATAGCAGAGAATTTTTCATATTCTGTCATTTACTAACTGTTCCGTCTTTCCTCTTTTGGATAACCTCTTTTCACTTGAGGCTGAGAAATGCAATATAATCTACAGAATAAGCTATAAAGTGAAAAAAGTAATTTTTTAGATATTTTCCTGTGCTTCCTGAATCATTGAAATGTTAAATCATGAAAGAGTTGTGATATGTTAACCCAGAAAGGTAGGTTGTATTGTGGTAGTTCTATATTTAGATCTCAGCTATGGTGGAATTTCTGACCAGCACTGCGCAGAAATAAAAAGAGACTGGTTTATGTCTTTGCTGGGACAATAGCCCTGTGTTTGGGCATTCAGTACTGAAGTCATTGCTTCGTTTTAATTTAAAAAAAACCAACGAAAACCAAACCCCACCCACTGTTTCTGTGTCCTCTGTTTAACCCAATCACAACACTGCTGGAGCAGGAGAGAGATTATTTTTCCATTCTCATTAAATGTAAATTAAATTAAGGCAAATGGTACTTTTATAAACCAGCCTTGATAATAACTTGACAACTGAATTGGTGTATCAAAATGGAAAAAAAAAATCACAATAATGCATGTAGACTTAGATAATTATTAAGTTCAGAGGAGATGTTTGAATTTCAGTGTAAAACTTGCTCGAAGTACTTATTTTCATATTAATTAATGAAGACAACAAGTTGGTAAAAAGATTAATTTCTCCACCTGTTTTATCTATTGCAAAGCAAAAAACCCACATAGTTCAATAATAACTGAATAATAGGGATATTACAATAGTGTTGTACACGGAAAATACGTTTGCAGGAAAGCAAATGCCATTTTACGAGTTGTCAGTAGATGGCACAAACATTTGTATGAAGAGTTTGGGCGTTCCTAAGAATTGTTACTCAGTAGGATAGAGTTACAGGAAGTTTTCTTTTTGTCTTTTCCTGAGTACATTTTCTGCTTTTTCGGAGAGCGTGGATTTCTGGTGAGAAAGTTTTCATTTTATTGATTTTATGTGGTTAGATAGAACTGTTTTATATTCTGCATCTTATTTGAAAATGAGCCATGTTTTCCGCAGAGGGTTATTAGCAAGTTTATGAAGTACTTTCAAGTGTATGAGTAAGAAATGAGGGTAAAGTTGCTTATGTTCAGTACATTTACTCAAAGAAAGTGACAAAATAGCAATCTCTTTGTATTAGCACTACATGCACAGTTAGGGGGGTCACAGTGAATTAATGAAAATATCTTTTGTACAGTTCAGGAATGGGTCTAACTTGCCAATATGTTTCATCCTTGTGAAAGGCATATTTGTAACACTAGAGTTTTGTGTTAAGATGATTACTTGCGAAGTGTGTATCTTAATACTGAACCTTCATAGCTCAATATATTCTGTACATTTCTTATACAAAAATTTAGTCAGTTTATACCAATTTTATATTGGAAAAACTCTTAAAACCTTTTTATCTCTTCTCTCACTCTTTAAACAACAGGACAATTTCTTGCTATGATCTTGGTTTGCTTACCCTCCTGGATTGCTTTTCTTGATAGCAAGCACTTTTTGTCAAGTTTGAAGACTTGAGGATGCTTGTGAATTAAAAGGAATATGACTATAAAGGGTAATTTCTCCAGCGTTAGCCCCCTTATCACAGGTTATGTGTTATAACAGTTTTTAATTCTGTCGCTTCATAGGGTTCTAAAGGAAGTTTGAAGATACTCGTAAATAATTTGACTGAATGCCAGGATATAGGAATGAGAAAGAAAATAAAAATATGGAAGAATCATATCTTTCTCTCATCTAGTCCTTGGATATCGCTGAAATTTTATCCCAAGAAGGAATAATGATTTAAACATAAATTATTAATTTTTTTTAATTTCTCTTGAAGCTACATATTTAATTTGATTATAAACTTATTAGTAGAGTTGCCCAAACAATCAGAAGAATAGGACAGAGAATGGCCAGATGCCTTTTGAGGCCTATGATGAATACAATTTTTCCAAATGAAAATCTGGAAAAGGCTGGAAAAGTTTTGCCATATTATCCTACTATTTATAGATGATTTCCAAGCCTAGTTTCATGCATTCTTTACAAAGGAACTCAATGGACTGGGTTTTTTTTTTTGTTGTTTTACTTCATAATATAGGTTGTTTTAGATCAAGGAGGATGTATATTTTACACCCAGTAATGTAACTCTGAGAAAATTTGTGGAATGGTTAATGGCACAGAAGATGTAGTCTTTGAGGTTGTAAATTTAGTCCAAGAAGTGGACTATTTCTGTCTCATTGTAGAGGCACTCAGAATATATACTCACAATTTAGCCATCTCAAAATCAAGAGAAAGTTAAAGCCGGTGCAGTTATTAATGTGTACTGTGGAAAGGTTAAGGCAATAATTATGATTTTAAAGTAGTGGGAGGGAAAGGGGGAAAAGGGGAAATAAAATGATTTCAGAAATCTGGAAGACAACTTTCAATCAAGATTTACGTGCATGAAAGTGCTGACTAAGTTCTTATCAGTTCCTCTTTCAGATGGGAGGTCTAATGGAGTTATGGCAATATCTAAAAGGAGATTTAAGGCAGCATTCACAGTGACTGACTTAAAAGGAGGCTGGCTACTCTTAGCTCCTACATTCAGAAAGGAAAAAGTGACCTCCATTAGGAAAATCCAAGCAAAGCCATGGTTATGGGGTTTTTTTTCCACTAAATTGTGTTTAAATTAGCCCTTCTGTCACAACAGAGACATTTGAGGTCAGTGACTTTAGGTCAGGGCTGGATTCTGTGTACCAAGGTTCTACAACTGGCGTATTTTTGTTTAGCATGCAGATATTCCCATTGTGTGTTTGGCGTCCTCTGTCAAACTGACAAACTAAACAAGTGGATACCCCACTTTCAGAGTCTAAATTCAAGAAATGCTCAAGTTCAGACAAAAAGCAAACTTTTCTCTGCACTTTCTCATGGCATAAGTAGAGAACATTCTAGCATCACCCCAGTTTTCCCAATCAAAATAAGCACTGAGGATCCAATCTCAGCTACCTAAAGACATTCAGATTTTGATTCAGCCTCTTGAACCTCCATCAAGTTTTAAAATAATGTCTCTGAGTCTAGTTCACATCCTTCAGGAGAAATCTCAATTAATGTACTTCCTAATCAAAGTGTATTACACAGTTGTGGGAAGCCTTCATAATACATTGAATCACAGCAGTAATTCTGTAAGTAAGCAGCAAATTTTAGTCAGCTATGAAATCAGACGTTTTCTAAGAAATGGATTCATTATATATTAAATACAACATATTTACCGAATGAAAATTTCAGTGGTGGTCTGTTAATAAAGAATGTCTCTCCTGAATGATAATAGGCACCTTCATTGTTCTTTGGGTCAAAGGGAAAAATGAGAAATTGGAACCTTAAAAAAATCTATTGCTCTGATGGTTCTTGCATAACCACTTAATGATACAATCTGTTTTCTGATTTTGTTTGTTTCCCAACAGGATTAGAATAAAGATGGACAGGTCAGAAAAGTTTTGAACATCTCCAAAGAAACAGAAAGCAGTATGTCAGAAAATACAAGCTCTCTCAGAAACTTTTTTGTTTACAAGTGTCTGTTTGCATTAACTTTTTGGAACCATGTCAGCCTGTCTGTGGAAAACAAACTTCTTACACCTTCTAACAATTTTCCAGAAGATGGTTCTGACCAAAATATCAAGAGCCTGCCACTCCTATATACAAATAGACCTCAGTCCAAATCTAGTTCTGACTGGGTTGTGATACAAAATACTACAGAAAGCCTGTCATTGTCAGAAATCAGAGATAGCAGTGTAAAAAAATTGCTTGCTTTATTATCTAATTTCAGACAAGGCTCTGGGTTACAAAATCTGACACTGACAAATGTGTCAGTGAACTGGAGTGCTCTTATGGAAATTTTTCAGACTGTATGGCATTCATCCATTGAATACTTCAATATTAACAGGGTCACTCAACTGGGAAACGTCAAAAGCTATGATTTTGACTATTCAGGTACCTCTATGAAGGCACTGACAGTGAAGAAAGTTCTTATCACAGATCTGTACTTCATACAGGATGACTTATACAGAATATTTGCAGACATGAATATTGCAGACATGACAATAGCAGAATCAGAGATGATACATATGCTTTGTCCTTCATCTGTTAGTCCCTTTAGACACCTAAATTTTTTAAAGAATGATTTAACAGATTTGGTTTTTCAAAAATGTGACACCCTAATTGAACTGGAGACATTAATCTTGCAAAGGAATAAATTTGAAAGCCTTCTCAAGGTAAGCTTCATGACCAGCCGTATGAAATCACTGAAATATTTGGACATGAGCAACAACTTGCTGCACCACGATGGAGCTGACGTGCAATGCCAGTGGGCTGCGTCTCTGACGGAGTTGGACCTGTCCTTCAATCAGTTGTCGGATGCTGTCTTTGAGTGCTTGCCAGTCAACATCAAAAAACTCAACCTCCAAAACAATCAGATCAGCAGTGTCCCAAAGGGGATGGCTGATCTGAAATCCTTGGAAGAGCTGAACCTGGCGTCGAACAGGCTGGCTGACCTGCCGGGGTGCAGCGGCTTTCCATCCCTGCAGTTCCTGAACACAGAGATGAATTCCATCCTCACGCCGTCTGCTGACTTCTTCCAGAGCTGCCCAAGGGTGAGGGAGCTACAAGCTGGGCACAACCCATTCAAGTGTTCCTGTGAACTGCAAGACTTCATCCGTCTG